CTGCCTGGCTCCAGTTAGGGGCAATGCCCATGCCCCCAGCCCCGGGCCCGGCTCCGGCCTCCTCCGGCTGCTGGGAGAAGGAGATCTCGATGGCGGGGGCGGAGGCCTGCACCTCAGGCTGCACGATGGGCTTGTGCGCGGCATGGCGGGCGCTGCCGGACAGTTGGGGGCTGGAGGAGTCGTCCGAGGACTCGGAGGAGATGGACCAGGCCGTGCCGTTCTCCAGCTCCTCCTGGCGCCGCAGCATGTTCTGGGGAGGGAGGGGAGGAATGGTGTCAGGTGAGACCTTCCTGCTGCCCCTGCTCCTCCGGCTGCCTTCCCTTCAACTGGGAGCAGGATCCGGTCAAGCCAGAGGGCACCGAGGCCACTGCGACCCCCGGCACAGGTTGCCACACCGCCCTGGCTCTGCCGGCACAGCAGGATGAGCGGTGAGGACCCAGCAGACCACGGCTGCCCCTTCCAGCCCTGCACCTCACACCATGCCGGGGGGGAGTCTGGCTCCAGCCCAGCCATGCACGCCCTGCGGTCCCGGGGTGCCGGCGGCTCCCCGGCACAGCAGGCAGCTCCATCCCGGCCATGACAGGGTGTGACACATGGAGCCAAGGACACCACCCACCATGGCTGCAAGGATGGCACCAGCTCATGGGGGGCAGCATTGGCCATCACACCAGTGGTTCACCACGCCAACGCCACGTTAGCGTCACACCAGCACCATGACAGCATCACGCCAGCACCACGCTGGCAGTGTCACACCAGCACCATCACGCCAGCACCATCCCACCAGCACCACACCAACACCACGGCACAGCACACCAACGCCACCAGTGCAGGGACACAGACAAGCCTTCTACTCACTAGTGCCCAGCTCTCGCACGAGGGCGCACGGACAGAGGAGCGGGGCTGGCCCGTGCAGCCCAGGGCCCCCCCAGCTTGGGCAATGTCTCCCCAAATCCCAGCCTGGCAGGTTCAGGCCTGTGGGCATCAGCGAGGGCTAGTGAGTAGGAGACAAGGAGCGGCTACGGCTACTGCGGGATGGCCACACCGCTGGGCTAAGCTACTGGCCGGCTCCAGCCCTCGCACTTACGCGGCCCTGCTGGGGCCATCTCCCGAGCTCGGCTGAGGAGACGTCGCCGCAGGAGCAGCTCTGAGACAGCTTCTCGAAGAGTGTCTCCCGAAAGATGTCCAGCAAGGACCAACCGTGCTTGTCGGCCGCCCGCCCCGGGCTCTTGGGCAGAGAGAAGAGGAGCTGTGAGCGCGGGAGGAGCAGGCGCCGGTACCGGGGAGCCATGGCCGTACGGCTGGAGAAGAGCTGCCCACCCCCATCCCCAAGCCCTGCCACCCTCTGGGACGTAGCCTGGGCACGTCCCCGCAGGGACCCCCTCGCCTGAGCAGCCCTGCCCAGTGTCACACTTACATAGAAAGCCTGTTCCCGCAGGGACGGCGTGTCGGGCGGGCTCTGGTTGTAGGTGGAGAACCTCTTATTGACCGTGGAGGCCTTGTTGACAGTGCTGGCTGCCGAGGGCTGGTCATCCTTGTCGAAGGGGCTGGGGAGGAGAGCAAGGAGGTGAGAGGTGTGTGCCACTCCAGGGGGGTCTCAACCCTGCTCTGCAGCGAACAGGACACCAGGATGCCATCCAGTCCAGCTCTGGCTTCCCATAAAGCAGCCCAGCTTTGGGATGGGAGAGACCTCAGGGCAGGCCACCTCTTGCCAGACGGTGCCAGGTGTCCCCAAGCCATGCCGTGCACTACCAGAAATGCCTGCTGGGGTACTCACTTCCAGGTGACCTCCAGGCTGAGTTTGAGGGTGCCCAAGTCGTTGATATCCACAGCCACTACCTGGGGCAGAGCCGCAAAGAGGTCCTTGGTCTCACAGGACACGTTGCCCACCACAACGTGGTTGGCCAGGCTCTTTAGCTCCGTCACCTGGGGAAGGAGAGGGAGGAGGGGATAAGATGAAGCCACGGACTTCATGGACGCTGTGTGCACCCCTGCTGTGTGCCAGGATGCCACCACCACCAGATGGCCTCCTCCCCCCGCAGTGAGGGTGAGGTTTAGGTGAGATCTTGCAGGGAAGCCCGGGTGGTAGGTGGCCCACACCACCCCTGCCCCTTTCTGCACTGTACCTTGATGGAGAGGAACTCAGTGACGAGGGGCAAGAAAACCATTTCCTCGCTGTCCCACACCTGCTTGCTGTTCACCTCGATGCGCCCCCGCAGCTTCCACCGCTGCCGTCCGTACTTCATGAAGATCTGGGGACACAGAGGCGTGGGTATGGGGGAGATGGAGATGGACCAGGAGATGGATGGTGGTGGGTGCTGGGGTGGTGGGTGCTCTCTATGCATCCCCGGGCATGGCCAGGGACCCACGCCACCCACCACCACCCTGCAACATGCTTCCACACCAGCGCCCACCTACGCCCCCCAGGCACCCCAAGGACCACAGGGCAGGAGAAGAGCAGAGCCCAGCCCGTAAAGTCCCACCAACCTCATACTGGTCACCAGCACAGAGCCGGGCAAAGCCTGCCAGTCCTGCAAGAGAAGGCAGAGGGGCGTCAGCAGGCAGCAGGCAGGCGGGCAGCAGGGCAGGGACGGAGCGGGACGTGTTACCTTTCATCCGGATGTGGAACTCGCCCAGCTGGCTCTCCAGCTCGTTCTCCAACAGGCACATGTTCTGGGGACAGACGGACGGACAGCACCCATCAGCAGCCACCCATGGGACCCAGCACCCTGCCAGCCCTCCCCAGCCGGCTGCCTCACCTCCGTGTACTCCTTGTAGCCCTTGCTGGCCTCCGCCAGGCTCTCACGTGCCTCCCGGCTGCCCGGCGAGCCCGTGCTGTAAGCCTTGACCATGTTGTGGGCTCCATCGCGGAGCCGCCGCTGGATGCAATAAGCCTCGTAGAGCTCATCTATCTGGAAGGACAGGCCCGAGCTGTGCTGAGGGGCAGGGCGGGTGCCAGCACGGCTGTCCCGGCGTGGCACCGAGGGAGCCCCAAAGTGACCCCGGTCCCCAGCTCTCACCTTGCTAGCGTGAAACTCCAGGCGACGCAGGAAGCGCTCGATCGACTTCACTTGCTGGAAAAGCAGAGGAGATGGCGGGAGAGGCAGCCCACCCCCTCCGGAGAGGAGCCGCAGGTCAGGATGAGCCCTGCCACGTGGCTGTGCTGCGGCTGGGATGGATCCTGGTCACCAGCCCTGCCCGGGAGATGCCGGGTGGCAGCCGGCTGTGCTTGCACCCACGTACTGCAGCATCCTCCAACCTCCCCTGTTCCGCAGGGCCCCCCAGGAGACAAGCCAGGCTCTGGGGTGCCCTTCTCCCAGCCTCAGAGCTAACCCAGGCTCAGCAGTCCCCAACCACAGCTTTTTTTAGCAAGAAGCAGCCTACAAGCGCCTGCCCGTCCTCTGCTTCATCCTCTGCCCAGACCCCCCCTGCCCGCAGGACCGCGATCCCACCCCGCAGGCACTCTGCCACTCAAGGGGACAGTGGGGGACAGGCAGCGGGGCAGTGCGAGGCGAGACGGGGCTGGCAGGAGCACAGCCCTGCTGCTCTCCCCGGGGGAGGCAAGAGGGACAGGACACTGATCCCGCTTACCTTATCCAGATCGTAGAGAAAGCCCTGGAGGAGAGAGGAGAGGGATAAGATGCAGCACAAAGCCCGCTCTGCCCACCCAAGGAGACCCAGCACATCGCACACCCACCACCGCACATCGGCGGGGACATGCAGCACCCAGTCAGGGCTGGGGAGGCTCTCCCCGGGGGAGGCAAGAGGGACAGGACACTGATCCCGCTTACCTTATCCAGATCGTAGAGAAAGCCCTGGAGGAGAGAGGAGAGGGATAAGATGCAGCACAAAGCCCGCTCTGCCCACCCAAGGAGACCCAGCACATCGCACACCCACCACCGCACATCGGCGGGGACATGCAGCACCCAGTCAGGGCTGGGGAGTGCATGACAGTAGGACAGGAGCCCCATAGCCCAACACCAGAACCCGGGCTGGTCCCTCATGTCCCCGTGGCACAGATGAACCAGGAGCTGCCCTAGCCGTGCCCACAACCCCGGCTGTCTGCCCAAAGCACCGGTCCCCGTAAGGTTCTTCCCAGCAACACTCACCAGGCGTGAATTCCTCTTGGACTCACGGATTTGGGTGCTGAGCTTCTCCAGTTCCAGCTGGTGCACCTCCAGGTAGGCTCTGGGGGCAACCACACCGCTGGGTCAGGCTGGGACACCTTGCCCAGGGCTCCTGCCGCCCACAGCCCGCACCAGCCCAGCACATCTAGCCCCGCATCCTCACTCCAGCACTCAGGCAAGGGAGCCCACATGTGCCTCTACATGGGACGTGGTGGGATGCGGAACCCCACGAAGCTCCGGACCCTGAGGGACTGTGCCCAGGAGACCTGGCACGTCCCTGCCTGGTGAGAGCGGAGACCTGCCAACCCCAAGCCACACGACAAGCTGTCCCCGTGTCCCTCAGGGGCTCCTTGCCTCCAACCACCCAGCCATGGGGAGCCCCAGCACTTACGTCAGGCCCTTCTTGAGAGCTTCGTACACCTCGTCCAGGCGGTTGGGCTGAGGCACCTTGGGTGGTGGCGATTTGTGGGACATTGAGAACATCCTACTGACCCTGGAGCCAGTCTTGCGGGAGACGGTGGGGGTGAAGGGCGAGAGGTTCCTGGGGAGAGAAGCAGGCAAACCCAGGGCGGCTGGGGTCAGCACACAGCACCGGGGTCCGCCTGGGTGCCCCAGCCTGCCGGGCACTCTGTTTCGAGGCAAGAAGGAGCTCTGGGATGGAGGCCAGGTCCGCCCAGACCTGCCTGCCTCTCCCAGGACTCCCCGGCAGCCAGTCTAACCAGCCAGCAGGGCCGGGCAAGACGGGGCTGCGAGGATGAGGAGCGCTGCCGGCACCGGGTGTCTGCAGCCCCCTTGATGCATTTGGCTGCCCGCTTTGGCTTCCACACAAGGAGAAACCCAGAAAGCTGGCAGTGGAGAAGAGCAAGGGGTCCGAGAGGCTGGCCGTGGGGTAGCCTCTTCGGAGGTCTGGGGGTTCTAGACACCAGTTAGGGGGAGCAAAGGCAAACGGAGCTGGCACCAGCTGCAGCCAAGCTGTGCTCCTGGAGTGCCCGTGGGGACATCTCCAGCCCTGGTCACCCTCCAAAGGGGCTACGCTCTGCTCCATCCCCAGCACCCCAGGTTGCCAGGGGCATGGAGATGCTCCCTGTGGCCTGGGCACTGTGGTAGGGTGACACACGCCATCAGCTTCCTGCCCTGCCATCGCGCACTCCCAGGGACAGGCAGGGATCCCAGTGGGTGGCAGCACCAGAGCATCCTAAGGACAAGCAGCCCTGTCACCCCATCACGCAGAGGAGCAATGTGGGGCAGGGCAGGGACATCCTCACTGATGCTATGCCTCTCCAGATGGCACCAAACCCACCGTACGGAGCTGCTGGCTGCCTGTTGCCTCCACCTGTCCCACCGTCACCTTGGGGACCTCCCCTGGCCGACCTGAAGGGACACCAACCCAGCAGCCGGGACCCAAACACCACCCTTCCTGCCTTGTGCAAGGGAGTCGCTCCCCAGCCCAGCGAACAACGCCCCGCTCAGACCGGCTCTTCCCTTCCTCCTTCCAACGCATCGTCGCGCCACCGGCGCCCAGAAGACACCATGGGCTCCTCGGTTCCCAGCCCCAGGCTGGACCTCCCATCCTGTGCCGCTCTTTGCAGGAGTGGCCAAAAGACTTCCCCGAATCATTGCGGGGGGAAATGAATGTCTTGGCCTCCTCCCAAGACAGAGTGATGGGTAAGCGCTTGATTTCCACCATCCCTCCTCATTCCCGTCCTCCAGGGCCCCTGGAGGCATCTCCCACAAGCATCTCTCCACCAGCCGTTTGCCTGCAGGCATCCAAAAGTCCTCCCTCTTCCCTGTCCCCAAGAGAGCCCTTCTGGCACCACCAGATCCAATGATGTGCTGGTGGCCTGGAGCATGTCACTTGGTCCAGAGGCTAGACGGGACCTGGGGACAAGAGCCGAGCAGGGCTGGAGGTCTCCTCCCAAGCGTGGGGAGGCTCTACTTGGGCTTGTGCCCACCCAGTGAAGATGGCCATAACCTGGCAAGGCAGCTTGGCGCTGGTCTCCCCAGCCACTGGGCTGAGCGCTGTCTCTCCCCCGGCACCAGTGGGTGCAGTGGGAGGTAAGGAGCCTGGCTGGGTGCTAGGAAAAGGGATTAAAAGCATTGAAGTCCTGCAGCCCAAAGCTCAAGCCCAAGCATGGCGTGCCCACGTCCCAAGAACCACCTGCGAGAGGGTAGCCAGGAGCTAGGGACGGTGCAGAGGAGGGTGGCACGGATGAGCAGCGCACGGGGTGGTTCTCAGCGACGTGAGGTTCGGCGGAGAGGAGGAGGAAGGGTATGATGGGACCGTAACACCGCCAGCGGCCAGAGGGGATGAGTAGGGAATGGCTGCTCCTCGCAACAGATCTGACGGGCAGCCAATAAAAACCTTTCAGCAACAGGTTTGAAATGAGCTGGAGGAAACCCTGATTCACGCCAACCCTCAAACCCCGAAACCAACTGCCGCAGGATGTCAAAGGCTGTCGAGACACAATGCTTCAAAGCCACCCCAGCTCCTTCACCGCACCCATTAACCCTGATGAGATGGTCACAAGGAAGCTCTTAAGAGCTGGCTGAAGAACGAGGGTGAGCTACGCCTGCCCCCTCCATGCTCTGGAGGCAGCAGCCGCAGGGCTGCAGGGTGGTCACCGATGACCCGCTGTAGGGTTGGGGTGATGGGCTCTGTCTCCCATCTGGCCTCGATGCTCCCTGCAGCCCCCCCCCGCGACATCCCCTGGGTAGCACAAAGGTCCCCGAGGGAGATGGTGGGACAGCGGGTTGGGAAGGTGACTCAGGATGGACAGCACGCCCCCCCACCACCCCCGAGCCTGTCCCCGTCCCTGTCCCTTGTGGCAGGCACCATGAGCACCCGTCTCCTACCTGAAGGGGCGATCGGCCGTCGAGTTCACTCCGGCGAAGGACTGGCTCCTATTGATCTTGGTGACGAGGACTCGGCGCTGCGGGCGCACAGACAGTGACATCGTCGAGTGTGACCTGGAGGGCCTCCCTGGGGAACACGAGAGAGCGGGGTCACCAGCAGCAGAGTGGGGAAACACACGCAGGCAGAGCTGCCGCCGAGACCGGGATGGGAACGGCACTCATGGGCCAGGGTGGCTACAACACCCACAGGCTAGGAGCCTTCCCTCCCTCTGAGCCCAGAGATGCTCCTCCCAGTGGCACCGGGGACGCAGGTCCCATGCTGTCCCAGTGATGGTGTTGGTGCCCTGTCCTGGGTGGAGCAGAGCTCTGGACACTGTGAGCACTCAGCAGGGACAGACGGACAGATACGTCCCAGCTCGGTCAAAGGAAGGGGTTGATGCCCAATGCCTACGGTCACCCTTCCCGGACACCACCGTGGCAAACCCTCCGCTGTGCCCCAGCCCGGCCCCGTCTCGTGCCCTGTCCCGCTGTCACCCGTGCCACCCCGCTGCGGGGGCAGGAAGGGCGCGGGGCCGGACCTGGCCACCCAGCCCTTTGCTGTCTCAGTGCTCGCTTCCGCTCGCTCCAGCAACCAGGAGGGAAACCCACGGACAACAAAGTGCTTTGGAAAGTCCCCGGCTCTGCCAGGAGTTCTGCGTCGGGGAAGGAAAGGCCGAGC